ACCCGCTCTATACCATGTGAAACAAGTGAACAGGAATGAAATGACTAAGGAAAGATTGGGTACAAATACAACCCTAGAAACCCTGTACCCCATATGTGCTACCCCACTATAGCCTACAGCAACTATGTCATAAAAATCTGACAATTACGCCCAGATTACACCGTATACACCACTGTCGGCGCTGTCGGTGCCGTATAATAGGTATGTCGGTGGGAAAAGTAGGAAATAAGAGAAATAAATAGAAGGCTCTAGAAAATAGAATAGTAGGCCGATTGAGATGAGATAAAGACCAAAATAAAGAGGAGAAAAGGGAGAATGGGATAACGGAAAAATATAATAGTGAGAAAATATTATAACGGGGACGTCCTCTCACACTTCCCCCCCTCAAAGCTGGGTGGTAGAAGTAACACCCTGCTTGACAAGGTAGTCCTGTAGAGGACGGCGGGCGTTATCCATGTCGTGTTCAGGTACCCAGGTATCCTCGGAAGGATCATAGCCTTTCCAACGAATCAAGAGCTCCAAGGTGCCGCTACGTCGTCGTCGGTGCGCCAGAACGGCTTTGACTTCGTACTCGGGTTCCCCATTAACGATCACTGGCAGTGGCGGCGGCGGCTGGCGACCTTTGAAGACCGTGTTTGGGTCCCGATAGGGCTTGAGAAGTTGAACATGGAAGGCATTGTGAATTCTCCAGGTAGCTGGTAAACGCAAGCGGAAGGTTACTGGAGTGACCTGCGCCTCGACGAGAAAAGGTCCGCAGAAGCGAGGTCGGAGCTTAGACGGAAGATGGCTAATGTCGAGATTGCGTGTATCCAGAAGCACTTGATCGCCAATCTTGATGGAATGATCGTTGCGACTCCGATCAGCGAGCTTCTTTTGTTGCTGCTGGATAGTCAGAAGACGTTTATGCGTGCGCTCCCACAATTGGTGCATGGTGGAAATGAAGTCATGTGCGGGTTGCACCGTGGCGGGTACTGTTGGTTTCTGAGGCGTGAGTGGGTTGCGACCGTAACAGAGGAAGAAAGGAGTTTGCCCTGTTGCGGCGTGCGTGGCGTTGTTATACGCAAACTCGAGAACCGGCAGATGTGCATCCCATTTAGAGATATCGTCCTTACACGCTGCTCGCAGAAGCTGTTCGACAATCTGGTTGAGGCGCTCTGTCTGACCATCCGTTTGGGGATGATAGGCTGATGACATGGCGAGTTTGGTCCCCATGAGCGACATGAGCTCCTTCCAGAATTTACTCGTGAATTTCGGGTCTCTGTCGGAGATCAGCGTGGTTGGAATGCCATGTTGCGAGATGACGTAGCGGAAGAATAATTGCGCTGTCTCCTCGGTGCGAGCCGTTGTGTGTGTCGGAATGAAGTGTCCCATTTTGGAGAATTTGTCGATGACGACTAGAATGGCATCGTAACCAGTTTTGGTAGGTGGTAACCCGGTGATGAAGTCGAGGCTAACCACTTGCCAAGGCTGTTCAGGGACTGGAAGAGGCTGTAGTAATCCTGCTTTCTTCTGTTTGCTGCTCTTCATCCGTTGGCATGTGTCGCACGAGGTGACGAATTTTTGTACGTCATCTGCCATGTGGGGCCAATAATAATGCTTCGCAATACCGGCAAGCGTCTTGTTACTACCGAAGTGGCCCGCGTAGAGAACATCATGATATTCTTCGAGCAGTAACTGGCGTAAGGGAGGGTAATTAGGTACCCATATTTTTGTGGAGCCCTTGCGGTATGCGATGTCTTGATCCCAATGTAGAAGATGGCGCTTTTCTGCTACAGAGACTTCGGGGTCGATGGTGTATCCATGCGTGAAGAGTCCCTTCAAAAGTGGGTTCATGCCATCGATTTGTAAGGCGGCAACGTGTGCAGGGCGACTCAGTGCGTCTGCCTTGTTCTTGTGCCCCGGCTTATACACGATGTCGTAATGGAAGTGGGTTTCGAGAAAGTCAATCCACCGGACCTGCCGCCTGGAGAGTGTTGGTTGGGTCTTCAGGTACTTGAGGCTGCAGTGGTCGGTGTAGACAGTCATTTTTCTTCCTTCGAGATAACACCTCCATGCCTTAAATGCGTTGACGATGGCGAGGGCCTCTTTGTCATGGATGGGGTAATTGAGTTCTGCCCCGTGAAGTTTTTTACTGAGGTATGCAATGGGTTGCAGTCCCTTCCCTTGATCCTGCATGAGTACTGCGCCCACTGCTTGATCGCTAGCATCGGCCTCGATGACATAGTCAAGTTCAGTGTCTGGCAGGATAAGAACAGGTGCGGACGTGAGTGCGGTTTTAAGTTGTTCCACGGCTTCCTGGTGCTTCGCCTCCCATTGATATGGTGTATTCTTCTTCAACAGGTTCGTTAATGGTGCGGCAATCTTGGCGTAGTTCGGTACGAACCGGTTGTAGTAGTTGGCGAATCCAAGGAACTGTTGTAACTCCTTCACGTTCTCAGGGGTCTTCCACGTTCGCACTGCTTCGATCTTCTTAGGATCCACGTGAACTCCTTGAGCGCTCACCATATGTCCAAGGAACTGGACTTTTTTCAACGCAAACTCGCTCTTGGATAGTTTCACGTAGAAGCGTTCTCGTCGAAGAATTTCAAACACCCGTCGTAGATGCTCAACGTGTTGCTTCATATCTTTTGAGTAGATCAGGATATCGTCCAAATATACCACCACGCACTCGTCCAGAAGGGGCCGAAGGATGTGGTTCATTTCTGCCTGAAATGTGGCTGGTGCGTTAGTGAGTCCGAATGGCATCACGAGATACTCGTATGACCCGTACCGAGTTCGAAAAGCGGTTTTGTGGATAGAGTTGTCCGCCATACGAATTTGCCAGTATCCTGATCTGAGGTCGAGCTTGGAGAATACCGTAGCACCGCGAAGTTGATCGAGTAAGTCGTCGATCCGTGGTATCGGGTATTTATTTTTTACAGTCTGCTTGTTCAAGGCTCGGTAGTCGATGCACATTCGTAGAATTCCGTCTGGCTTCGGAGTGAAGAGAACTGGAGCTCCGTACGGCGAAGTCGAAGGTCGAATCAGCCCTTTCTCCAGGAGATACTCTATTTGTTTTTTCATATCGGCAAGCTCTGTCGGGCTCAGCCGGTATGGTGCTCGAAATGTTGGCTTGGATCCCGGCTCTTCTACGATCTCGTGTTGATGTGTCCGGTATGGCGGTAGTTGATCAGGTAAATCGTCGGGGAGAACGTCCTGGAACTCTTCAAGAATTTTCTTGACTGTTGGAGGAAGTTCCTGGGTCTGCTTCTCTCCGTTGTCTGCCTCGTTGACTATCGCCATGAATCCCGCCGTGGTCCGTTTGACGTCCTTTTCAAAGCGTGCGAATGTCTCGACTGGAATATTTCCCGTGTCTTCCCATTTGGGAAGGCTGATTTTCCTCCCGTTGTTGTTGATGTTGGCCGTCTGGTTAACCCAGTTGATCTCGGGGTTGAACTTTTTAAGAAAGTCTCTCCCGAAGATTACGTCGAGTCCTTTGATATTTGTGAAGGGGAGAGCAGGCTTCCATCGAAGGGGTCCAATCTGGAGTAGCAACCGTGTTTCCCCGTAGATAGGTAGCTTACTGCCATCCACCATCGTTGCAGAGAAGCTTGAGGACTTGATGTCACTTCCGAGTCGATCGATTGCCTTTTTGTCATAGACGCTGTGCGACGCCCCGCTGTCCACGAGTGCTTGGAGGCGCTGTCCGTTGCAGATCACCTCGAGCAGGAGTGGTGAGCGTTGCTCGGAGTGCCCAAAAATAGTCTCATTAATAGGATCATAGGGTACATCCCAATATTCAGTACACACCGTGGTTCCACTGCTTTCTTCTGGACAACTAGCTGGCCTGGGCTGCGTGGAGAAAGGCTCTTCTCCAATGCCAGGAGTAGAGGTAGTAACCGTACAAGTTGACCCTGAGGGGGTGGATCCGGTCGACGCCTGCGATCCACTGGATGCATCCTTGAGGGGTTTTCGGAGTTTCTGCAGCTTCTTTTGAACTCCCAGCTGCCTCTTCAGCTGCTTCAGCTCCATAGACTTCTTCCCTGGGGAGTGGAGAGTCGTCTTGGGCTGGTTCCGGGAGAGGACGTTGACGCCGTGAAAAGGTCTACTCCTTTTCACACTCCTTAATTTTTTCCCCAGCTCCGTAGGCACTGTCAAACATTATATATATTGTTGTAGTTGTTAGGCTACAGTGGGTTAGCCTATAGGGGGGACACACTCCTAGGTTTCCATATTTGTACTCTTTTCATTCTTAGTCATTCCATTCCTTGTTCAACATGGTATAGAGCAGGTCCTTCCTAGGACCGTTTTTCGTAAGGGCCCACCACTACCTACCTGCCTATCTGCCTACCTGCCCTAGGGCGCCTCGACGTTCACGCCTCTAGAGGCCCTGTAGGCCCCGCGCTGTTGCACCTAGAGGCCCCGAATCGGCCCCGCGCCTAACCCTAACGGCCCGTGTCGGCCCCGAGCTCGTCCCCTAGAGGCCCGCGTCGGCCCCGCGCCTACCCTAGAGGCCCGCGTCGGCCCCGAGCCTACCCCTAGAGGCCCGCGACGGCCCCGTCCTTACCCCTAGAGGCCCGCGACGGCCCCGTCCTTACCCCTAGAGGCCCGCGACGGCCCCGATCCTACCCCTAGAGGCCCGCGTCGGCCCCCGTCCCTACCCCTAGAGGCCCGCGTCGGCCCCGTCCCTACCCCTTACAGCCCGCGTCGGCCCCGATCCTACCCCTAGAGGCCCGCGTCGGCCCCGTCCCCAACCCCACCCGCTCCCCGCGCTCCCCTTAGCTGCCTCGAACGGCCCCACCTAGACCGCGCCGCCCGCACCGAACAGCCCGGCCCTAACGGAACCGAGCCGCCCGAACCGAGCCGCCCGACCCGAGCCGCGCCGCCCGACCCGAGCCGCCCGAACCGAGCCGCGCCGCCCGACCCGAGCCGCGCCGCCCTACCTAGACTGAGCCGCGCCGCCCTACCTGTACCGAGCCGCGCCGCCCTACCTACCTACTGCTTTTACTACTGCTGCTACCATGGCTAGCCCTCCAGTGCTAGCCTTCGATGCTGAGGGGCGCCCAGTGAAGTTCGACACCTGGCTTGATGACCTACACCTCTTCCTACAGCTCACTGCCAAGGAAGACATCTCGCTGTACGATCACGCCCTAGGCCACGCTACTGCTCCTGCTGCTACTGCCGACAGCACTGCTCGCTCACAGTGGCAGACTCGTGACGCCCATGCTCGCTTCGCTATCCGCAACTCTCTGCCGATAGATGAGCGCGAGCACTTTGGGCAGCACAAGACTGCACAGGCACTGTACACTGCTGTCGTTGCCCGCTACTCCTCACCGGCCTCTGCTGCTCTAGGCCGTCTCTCTCTTCCCTACCTGTTCCCCGACTTAGCTTCCTTTCACACTGTCGCTGACCTCATTACCCACCTCCGCACTAGTGAGGCTCACTTCCGCGCCGCTATGCCTGATGAGTTCCTCGCTACGAACCCACCCCCGCTCTGGATCACTCTCTACCACCTAGTCACGCGCCTCCCTGACTCGCTGCGCTCAGTCAGGGACCACTTCCTCGCTCGCTGCCCCACCGAGCTCACCATTGCCCTCCTCGAGAAGGAACTCCTTGCAGCCGAGACTAGCATAGTCGCTGTAGGTGCCTCTCGCGGTGACCCCCGCACCCCGCTCTTTGAGGGGTGTTCTCCCTCCCCCCTTCTTCCCTCTGTCGCCTCTGCTGCTGCTGTCGACCTCCTTGGTGCTGACAAGGTCGGGACTGCGTCTGCTTCGGGCGGACGCCGCAGCGGCAAGGGCAAGGGGGGCAAGGGCGGTGGTAGTGACAGCGGGGGTGGCGGTGGTGGGGGAGGTGGTGGCGGGGGGAGTGGCGCGGGTGGGGGAGGTGGCAGCGGTGGTGGGGGTGGCGGCAGCGGCGGGGGAGGTGGCCGGGGCGGAGGAGGTAGTGGGGGTGGCGGTGGACGAGGAGGCGGCAGGGGTTGGGGTGGTCGAGGAGGTGGTGGCGGGAGTGGTGGGCGTGGCGGCACTGGCGGTGGCCAGGGACAGCAGCACACTCCCTCGCCCCAGGAGGTCCGTGAGTGGTACTCTCAGCACGGGGGGGGGGGGGGGGTGGCCTTAGCTGCACGTACGTCATTCGCACTGGTGACCGCACTGGCCAGCCGTGTGGGGGACCGCACGCCACACAGCGTTGCTTCGCTCGTCTGAGCGACGCTTGGCGTGTCCAGTTCCCTCAGGCCACTGAGCTGCCCCGCTGGCTGGATCTCCTGAAGAAGGGGATTGATATCTATGCTCTAGATTTTGATGCTATTCTCTTTGCCATGTATGTGATGTCTACTAGTGGAGAGGGTTCTGAGTACCTGAGTGTCCCGCCCGACCCGGGCATTAGGACTAGTGCGTCTGCTGCTCCAGGTACCCACGTGTCTGCTACCCCAGGTGCTGGTGAGGCTGCTGCTCTAGGTGCGTGCGTGTCTGGCCCCCCTGGTACTGTGTCGACTGCAGCACTGCACACCTTCACACTGGATTCAGGTGCCTCTCGCTGTTTCTTTCGTGACCGCACTGCCCTTGAGCCCCTTGCTCGGCCAGTTGCTGTCTCCCTTGCTGACCCCTCTGGGGGTCCGGTCATTGCGACCTCCTCCACTGACCTTCCCTGACCTGCGGTCCCGTCGGGCACACTGTCAGGTCTCCACCTCCCCTCGTTCTCCACGAACTTGGTGGCAGGTTGTGCTCTCCAGGATGGGGGTGTTCACCAGTTCACCCCTGCCTACGAGCGTGTGACACACTGCACGTGTGCTCGTACGGGCCGCCACTTGGCTACCTTCACCCGGCAGCCGGGGTCGGACCTGTACACACTGACTACTGCCTCCCCTCAGGTCGCTGCGTCTGCGTCTGCGTTTGCGTCCGCGTCAGGTCAGCTGTCTGCCCCCTGCTCGTGTCGCTCTCTAGCGCACAAGACTGTCCTCTGGCACCACCGACTTGGCCACCCGTCTGTGCAGCGCCTTCGTGCCATGCACTCCCGGTACCTTGTCTCTGGTCTTCCCAGGGTTCTCCCTCCTCTCCCATCCTCGCCTGCTCCTCCCTGCCTTCCCTATGTCGAGGGGCGGCAGCGCGCCGCTCCTCACTCCTCCTCGTTTCCCCCGACGACTGCTCCTTTGCAGACGCTCCACATGGACGTATGGGGCCCAGCCCGCGTCCGTGGTCAGGGTCAGGAGAGGTACTTCCTGATCGTTGTTGACGACTACTCGCGCTACACCACGGTCTTCCCCTTGCGCATCAAGGGTGAGGTCCCTGATGTTTTGATCCCTTGGATCCGCAGAGCTCGTCTCCAGCTCAGCAAGCGTTTCTGCTCGGACTTTCCTGTCCTGCGCTTGCACTCTGACAGAGGTGGTGAGTTCTCCTCCGACCTCTTGGCAGCCTACTGTGCTGAGCACGGCATTGAGCAGTCGTTCACGCTTCCGGCCTCTCCACAGCAGAATGGGGTTGCGGAGCGCCGCATTGGCCTGGTCATGGAGGTCGCTCGTACCTCCTTGATCCATGCGGCTGCCCCCTATTTTCTGTGGCCGTTTGCGGTCCGGTACGCTGCGCATCAGCTGAACCTCTGGCCCCGTGTCTCCTTGCCGGAGACCTCGCCCACACTGCTGTGGACGGGGGAGGTTGGCGATGCGTCGCGTTTCCGGGTCTGGGGATCTCGAGCCTTTGTTCGCGATTCGTTTGCGGACAAGCTCTCCTCTCGTGCTGTTCCCTGCGTTTTCCTCGGCTTTGTTCCGGACGCGCCTGGTTGGTAGTTTTACCACGCCACCTCGCGCCGGGTCTTGGCCTCTCAGGACGTCACTTTTGACGAGTCTGTCCCCTACTACCGCCTCTTCCCCTACCGCACTGCCCCGCTCCCACCCCCGCCTCTCTTCCTCGCGCCAGGTGCTGCTGTCGTAGACCCCCTCCCCCCTCACGGTGCCGCTCCCTCAGGTGTGTCTCAGGTAGACCCAGTCGAGCCTGTTGAGGTTGGTGTCGACTCTTGTCCTGCTGGGGGTGCTGAGCCTGGGGGTGCGGACACTAGGGGTGCTGAGCCTGGGGGTGCGGACTCTGGGGGTGTTGAGCCTGGGGGTGCGGACTCTGGGGGTGCTGAGCCTGGGGGTGCGGACACTGGGGGTGCTGAGCCTGGGGGTGCTGTGCCTGGGGGCGCTGAGCCTGGGGGTGCGGCGACTGGGGGTGCTGAGCCTGGCGGTGCTGCGTCAGGGGGTCCTACGCCTGGACGAGACCTCTCCTCGGAGCAGTTGCGTGAGTGGTACTTACAGTACTGCAGCCTCCGGAGAGGTACCTCTGGGACCAGGCGCGCTACGGAGACTGGTGCTGACACTTCTCCTTCTAGTCGGGAGCTCCCCTCTCGTGAGCGGATTCGTGAGTGGTACGAGCGCCGTTGCACACTTCGTAGTGGCGCGCCTCGTCTCACGGACCCTGCTGCTGCTGGTGCTGAGGACCCGGGCGTTGGAGCTGCTGCTGGTGCTGCGGACCCGGGCGTTGGAGCTGCTGCTGGTGCTGGTGCTGAGGACCCGGGCGTTGGAGCTGCTGCTGGTACTGCGGACCCGGGCGTTGGGGCTGCTGCTGGTGCTGCGGACCCGGGCGTTGGAGCTGCTGCTGGTGCTGAGGACCCGGGCGTTGGAGCTGCTGCTGGTACTGCGGACCCGGGCGTTGAAGCTGCTGCTGGTGCTGAGGACCCGGGCGTTGGAGCTGCTGCTGGTGCTGAGGACCCGGGCGTTGGAGCTGTGACTGGTGCTGAGGACCCTGGTCTTGGAGTCCCTGCTGGTGCTGCGGACTCGGGCGTTGGTACTGCCGCTGGGGGCACTGGTGCTGTCCCTGCTGTGCCTGGAGTCGCCGCGCGCCCTCAGCCGTACTTCGTTCCGCTCCTTCAGCAGGTTCTTGGTCTCTCGCCTCCTCCTGGTCCTCCCCCTCCTTTAGTGTGTCCACAGCCTGTTCAGTCACTGCCTGCTCCTTCTCCTTACTCTGGTCCTACTGACGGTCTTACTGAGCGTCGTGAGCCTGCGTCTCGCCCTGCGTCGCCTGTCCGTCCTGCTAGCACTAGTGCTCGTAGTTCGCGTCCACGTCCTCCTCCTGCCCCTGGCACGCACCGGATGTCTCTGCGTCCTTCCACTGCTCCTCTGCGTGCCCCTTTGCCTTCTCCTCCTGCTTCCTCTCTTCCTGCTCTTGTCGACCCTGAGTCGGACTCTCTTCGTGCTGCCAGTCCTACTGTCACGCGTCTCCTTGCTACTGTCATCACTGACCCTTCCTTCGAGTCTTCGGCTGCGTCTGCCCTAGTTGCTGAGCTCGTCGACTTTGCTGCTCGCTGTCGTCTAGACTACGCTGCTAGTCTTGTCGCTGAGTCTGAGTCTGTCTGTCCTCCGTCCGTCGGGGGTGCGTGTGCCCTTGGCACGGACGTCCTTGAGGACACGCAGGAGGAGTTTCAGTGCTTGGCTGCCGCTTCACCTCATCTCGCGTCTGTACTGCTAGCCCCTGAGGGAGACCCGGATGCACTAGACATCCCGACTCCGCGCTCTTACGCGGAGGCGATAGAGGGTCCCTACTCCTCTCAGTGGCAGGCAGCTATGGATGCAGAGATGGCTTCCTGGAAGTCCACAGGCACCTACGTTGACGCTATCCCCCCTCCTGGGGCGAACATCGTCAGTGGCATGTGGATCTTCAGGGTGAAGCGGCCGCCGGGTTCTCCGCCTGTCTTCAAGGCGCGTTACGTGGCTCGTGGCTTCAGTCAGCGGCAGGGAGTCGACTACTTTCAGACCTTCTCCCCCACCCCGAAGATGACCACTCTTCGGGTACTCCTGCACGTTGCTGCTCACCGGGACTACGAGCTTCACTCTCTCGACTTCAGCACTGCTTTCTTACAGGGCAGCCTGCACGAGGAGATCTGGCTGCGTCGCCCACCTTACTCTTTCCCTCCTGGTACCCAGTGCAGTCTCCGGCGTCCAGTCTACGGTCTCCGCCAGGCGCCACGTGAGTGGCAGGACACACTGAGGACTACGCTGGCGGCACTTGGATTTGCTCCTTCTACTGCCGACTCGTCGCTGTTTCTGCGCACCGACACTTCTCTGCCGCCGTTCTACATCCTCGTGTACGTCGACGACTTGGTCTTTGCCACTGCTGACACTGCTGGACTCGCCTACGTGAAGTCCGAGCTGCAGAAGAGACACACGTGCACTGACCTGGGTGAACTGCGCAGCTACCTTGGCTTGCAAATCACCCGGGACAGAGCACGCTGCACCATTACCCTGACTCAGTCACACATGGTGCAGCAGGTCCTTCAGCGCTTCGGCTTCACGTACTCCTCGCCTCAGGCCACTCCTCTGTCTACTCGCCACTCGCTCTCAGCTCTGCCTTCGGATGAGTCCGTAGAGTCGAGTGGCCCGTACCCAGAGCTTGTTGGCTGTCTCATGTACCTGATGACCTGCACACGACCTGACCTTGCATACCCTCTTAGCATTCTTGCGCGCTATGTTGCTCCTGGGAGACACCGACCAGAGCACATGGCTGCAGCGAAGAGGGTGTTGCGCTACTTGTGCAGTACGTCGGGCATGGGACTAGTGCTTGGAGGGCGGAGTCCAGTGGTCCTCACTGGTCACGCGGACGCTTCTTGGGCTGACGACCAGGCTACGCAGCGGTCGTCACAGGGTTACACCTTCAGCCTTGGTTCTGGCTCTGTTTCGTGGCGGGCTACTCGCTCGTCTTCTGTTCTCGGCTCCAGTTATGAGGCTGAGATCTATGCAGGGGCCATGGCTGCTCAGGAGCTTCGCTGGCTCACCTACCTGCTGACCGACCTTGGAGAGCCGCCTCGTTCTCCTCCAGTCCTGTACGTCGACAACAAGGCCATGCTGGCCTTGTGTCGAGAGCAGAGACTGGAGCACAGGACAAAGCACATTGCTCTCCGCTACTTCCTTGCTCGTGAGCTACAGCAGCGTGGTCAGTTGCGACTTGCGTACGTGGCCTCTGAGGCCAACACTGCTGATGTTTTCACCAAGGCACTTGCGCCTTGTGATCATCAGCGCTGCTGTACCCAGCTAGGTCTTGTGTCTGTCTTGCCTCACTTGCTCTCCTCTTGACCCTCTTTGTACTGTTACATATATATATCACTGCTCTTGCTTGTTTAGTCTTATATATATATATGTACTCCAACATGTGAACTGGCCTTGTGGCCTTGAACTTGTGCTCGGATTGTGTGGTGACATTGTGATCCACCCTGAGCTTGCTTTGCTTTACTTGACTGGTCTTGTGACCCCTAGTTCTCCCCCACTTCGCCTATGGGGGTGTGTCAAACATTATATATATTGTTGTAGTTGTTAGGCTACAGTGGGTTAGCCTATAGGGGGGACACACTCCTAGGTTTCCATATTTGTACTCTTTTCATTCTTAGTCATTCCATTCCTTGTTCAACAGGCACCGGTACCACTTCTTTAATTGTCTGCTTCCTCTGGAGTTCTTCCCGAAATTTGTTTATGGCTCCGGACCCGCGAAAATCGCCAGTCTTTATTAAAGCATCTTTGAAAGATAACTTTAACGAATTCTGTTTTTTTCCGGGGTCGAATTGGAGAGTTCCCGTCTTGGTCGAGTCTGTTTTCGCGGAGGTTTTCTTTTCCTCGGCGAATTCCTCTGACAAATTTCGGTCAAGGGGCTTGGGATTTCGCCCTTGATTCTCCAAATCTCGCGCCTAATGCTGTCCTTCAATTTCGATTCAGTCCAGATTGCGCTGACGCTTTCGGATCTGTTTTTTCTCGCCAGCACGATCCGCAATCACTGGCGAGATCCGTTTTTTGACTTTTTGTCTTTAGTTTCGCCACTCCCACGAGCTCGGAATGCCGCACGTGCTGATTTCATGTGAAAACAGTCGACAATCCGATGTCCGTTTCCGCCGCAAAATTCGCTAAGTGTTTTGTTTTTTGCAGGTCGTGAACTCGCGTCGAATTTGTCGACTTCCATGGGGTCGGCGAACGTGGTTGAAGCCGAGCGATCCCCTTGTCGTGATCCGACGACGTGGGGTCGTCGTGTCCCGGAGTTGACCAAGTCAAAACGCTCCGCGGCCGATACGATTTCGCTATAGCTGCTGCAATTCGCTGCTGCAACCTGGCGCCGAATGTCGGTTTTCAGCCCTGCGATGTAGGACTGAATTTTTTCGCCCTCGGTAATGTCGGGAATGCGATTATAAAATTCCTCCATCTGCTGCGTGTATTGCGCGACACTCCCGTATTGCCTATGGTGATGTAATTTTTCGCGCGCAATATAAGTGGAATTAATCGGCTCAAAACGTTTGAGAAGGTCTGCCCGGAACTGCTGCCACGTGGCTTAGCCCTGGAAAATGAAACTGTTGCTTCCGAGCCACTCGAGAGCTGGACCGCGCATCAACGTTGTCGCGAGACGAATTTTCTCGATGTCGTACTCCGTTGTCGTCCATCCGATCGCCGCGAAATAAATTTCCATCGTCGCGAGCCACCGCCTGACGTCGGATTTTCGATCGCTAGGGTCGAACGATTCCGGCGAGCGAAGTTTCGGAACCTCGAACTGACGCTGCGACTGTTGCGAAGTCGTCGAAGCAGGAATGTTCATGGTTGAGAGGAGCTGCGTAACGCGCTGCAGTTCGTTTCGCATCTGCTCGTTCTCCAATCGCGACCGTTCAGTCGTCGCTCGCATCTCCGCTTCCATCTTGGCGATTTGCGTGAAGAGCTGTTGCGTAACCTCGTTGGTCGCCGGCGAACCCATCCTGTTCAAAAACCATGCGAGGGGGTTAATTCGAAAAGCGCGGAACTGGTACTTACCAGAAATCGGCATCGAATTGGTCGCCCCCGGCGGTTTTTCGAGGCGATTTTTTCCGCGACCGCTGCTTAGCCGAGAGTTGTCGAGTGAGAACGGCTCTGATTACCAAGTGTCACAGGATCGAATTCTCAATCGAAACTTGTCACTAAAACTGAATACAAGGCCTATTTATACTCAGAAAGTACAAGGATAAACGAGATAAAACGAACCTTCGGGAACACACCCTTCCCGATACTACAATCACAAGTGCGCATAAGCACGCAAGTCTATTGGCACTTGGGATTACGCCCAGATTACACCGTATACACCACTGTCGGCGCTGTCGGTGCCGTATAATAGGTATGTCGGTGGGAAAAGTAGGAAATAAGAGAAATAAATAGAAGGCTCTAGAAAATAGAATAGTAGGCCGATTGAGATGAGATAAAGACCAAAATAAAGAGGAGAAAAGGGAGAATGGGATAACGGAAAAATATAATAGTGAGAAAATATTATAACGGGGACGTCCTCTCACACCACTCCCAGCTCCAGTGACGGCACTAGAAGTACCTCCAGCAGTAGAGCCTCGAGCTCCAGAAGCGCGACCCTGACAGCGACCGTACCAGTCGTGCAGCTGCCGTGAGGTGAGAGGCACACGCACACGAAGACGGCTACTCCAAGGAGACCGCTGAGCAGCACTCCCAGCACCCCCAGACTCAGCACCCCCAGACTCAGCACCCCCAGACTCAGCACCCCCAGGCTCCTCACACGCAGGCTCAGCACCCCCAGGCTCCTCACGCTCAGACTCCGCACCCCCAGGCTCAGCACCCCCCGGCTCCTCACACTCAGGCTCCGCACCCCCAAGCTCAGCTCCCCCAGGCTCCTCACGCTCAGGCTCCGCACCTCCAGGCTCAGCACCCCCAGAGACAGCACCCCGAGCAGGACCATCCCCAACAGGACCTGAGTCACCAGTGACCTCAACAAGCGCAAGCACAGGAGGGTCTGCCTGAGAAACACCTAAAGGAGCAGGACCTGGCACGGGGAGGGGGTCTACCTGGGGAGGACCTGGAGCGAGGAAGAGCGGCGGGGGGGGGGGGGGGCGAGGAGAAGTGCGGTAGAGAAAGAGACGGTAAAAGGGGACGGACTCGTCAAAGGTGACGTTTTGAGACGCAAAGACACGGCGCGTGGCTGGGTCGTAGAACTGCCAGCCAGGCGCATCAGGGACAAAGCCAAGGAAGACGCAGGGAATGGCGCGAGGGGAGAGCTTGTCCGCGGTGGTATCGCGGACAAAGGCACGAGCACCCCAGACCCGGAAACGCGACGCATTGCCAACCTTCCCCGTTCAAAGCAGTGTGGGTGAGGTCTCCGGCACGGAGACACGGGGCCAGAGGTTGAGCTGATGCGCGGCGTACCGGACCGCAAACGGCCACAGAAAATGGGGGGCAGCCGCATGGATCATGGAGGTACGAGCGACCTCCATGACTAAGCCAATGCGGCGCTCAGCAACCCCATTCTGCTGCGGAGAGGCCGGAAGCGTGAACGATTGGGGGATGCCGTGATCCGCACAGTAGGCCGCCAAGAGGTTTGAGGAGAACTCACCACCTCTGTCAGAGTGCAGACACAGGACAGGAAAGTCCGACTGGAACCGCTCGCGGAGCTGGAGACAAACAGCGCGGATCCAGGGGATCAAAACATCAGGGACCTCACCCTTGGTGCGCAAGGGGAAGACCGTGGTGTAACGCGTGTACTCGTCGACGACCAGCAGGAAGTACCGCTCGTGGCCCTGTCCCCGGACGCGGGCTAGGCCCCACACGTCCAGGTGGAGAGTCTGCAGTGGAGCCTCTGTGGGAGGGAACAAGGAGGAGTGAGGAGCAGCGAGCTGCCGCCCCTCGACGCAAGGAATGCAGGGCGGCGCAGGCAAGGGAGGGAGGGCAGGCAGAGACCTGGGAAGGCTAGAGACTAGGAAGCGAGAGTGCATGCTACGAAGGCGAGGCAGGGAGGGGTGACCAAGGCGGTGGTGCCACAGGAGAGTGTCGTGCGACAGACGGCGACACTCACACTGGGTAGCTACCTGGGCAGACGCGTATAACTGGGGAGACAACGGGGTGTAGAGCGACGCAGTGGTGAGGGTGTACAGACTGGACCCAGGCTCACGTGTGAACGTGGCCAGGTGGCGGCCTGTCCGGGAGCACGTGCAGATCGCCACATGCTATCCTCCAGGAGTAAAGGTGTCAACCCAGTGATCCTGAAGGACGGAGTTGCTCACTAGGTTCGTAGAGAACGAGGGGAGGTGGAGACCTGACAGCTCACCAGACAGGACCGCCGGGCACGGAAGCACAGTGGTGGACCGTGCAAGCACTGGGCCCCCAGAGGGGTCAGCCAGTGAGATAGGGACAAGTCAACGAAGGGGAGTGACTGTGGTGCTGTCGCGAAAGAAACAGCGGGAAGCACCAGAGTCAAGTGTAAAGGTGTGCAAAGCCTGAGGGGACGCAGTACCAGGGAGAGCAGACTCACTAGCACCGAGGGCTGCAAGCGCTATACCTGGGTCTATACCGGGGTCAGGCGGCACACACAAGTAACAGTCACCCTCAGCACTAACAATCAATGCATACATGGCAGCAAGGATTGCATCATAGTCAAGATCAAAGATAGGTACATCACGCCTAAGCAGATCTGCCCAGTTGGGGAATTCAGTAGCATCAGGAAACTTGGCGCGCCAAGCGTCGCAGAGCCTAGTGAAGCAGCGGTACGCAGCGTGAAAGCCGTTGCATGGGCGACCCTTACGGGGACCAGTGAGAATGACATAGGGGCATCGACTAGGACCCCCAGACGCCCCACGCCCGGCATACCAGTCATGGAGCTGCTGAGAAGAGGGTTTCTGGCGCTGCTGCTGCTGGCCCCCACTGGAACTCCCCTTCTGGCCGGTCCCACTCCCGCCCCCACCTCCACCGCCACCACCATTGCCTCCTCCCCCACTACCTCCGCTGCCACCTCCACCACTCCCGGTTCCACCACCGCCCCACCCACCTCCTCCACCCCCACGACCACCCCCACCACCGCCACCACCCCCGCCGCCTCCACCACCGCTCCCTCCACCGCCACCGCCACCACCCCTGCCACCCTTGCCGCCCCTGCCACTGCCGCGCTTCCCACCAGGAGCGGAAGCCGCTGCAACCTTCTCAGCACCGAGGAGGTTGACTGCAGCAGCAGCTGAGGCGTAGGAGGGGGCAAGAGGGGAGGGGGAGCACCCCTCAAAGAGGGGAGTGCGTGGAGTGCCACGGGCAGCACCTACAGCAAGGATGTTCTTCTCTCCTGCTAGGAGCTGCTGCTCGAAGTCGGCTAGAGTGATAGTGGTAGGGTCCTTGGCGAGGAAATGGTCCCTGACCGAGCTAAGAGTGTCAGGGAGGCGAGTGACGAGGATGTAGAGGGTAAAGTACAGCGGTGGGGTGTTCGTGGCGAGGAACTCGTCAGTTTGAGCGGCACGAAAGCAGGCGTCACTAGCGCGGAGGTGAGATATGAGGTCCTCAGCACTGGTAAACGAGGTCAGGTCGGGGACCAGGTAGTGCAGGATGAGGCGTCCGACGGCTGCAGTGGATGGGGAGGAATAGCGCACAACTACAGCGTCGTACAACGCCTTAGCAGTCTTGTGCTGACTAAAATGCGCGCGCTCAGTGATCGGCAGGTGGTTGCGGATAGCAAGGCGCGCAGCAGCATCGCGAGCTAGTCACTGTGAGCGGTCGAGAGCAGTAGTCAGCAGGAGCAGGGGCAGTGCCTGACGCGTGATCGAACAGAGAAACGCTGTCTTTGGCATCCGTCATGAGGAACAGCTGTAGATCGTCAAGCCAAGTGGCAAATTCTATCGGGCGACCGTCAGGCTCAAATGCAAGAACGTTAAGTGTCGCCATGATGGTAGTGTTGATTCAAGACAGGCAGGCGCAAGGCAAGCAGGCGCACTACAGGCAAGCAGGCGCAGGGCAGGCCGGTGCACTTCAGGCAGGGCGCAAGGCTGGCAGGCTTAAGGAAGGCAGGCACACCTCAAGCAAGGCGCAAGGCAGGCAAGGCGCAAGGCAGACAAGGCGCAAGGCAGGCAACTGGAAGACGGGCGGTGCGCGGCTAGAGCGGACGCGTGGCACACGGGCGACGAAGTGCGCAGGGCGCGGCGGCAGGCCACTCGCGGGCTGGCAGGGCGCAATGCGGGCGGTGCGCGGGCGGTGCGCGGGCTGCGCGCGGACGGTGCGCGGTATGCGCGCTGGCTGCGCGGTCGGGCTGCGCTGGCTCTGCGCGGGCTGCGTGGGCGTGCGCGGGGCAGCTGCGGGCCGTGCGTGGGGCCGCGTGGGCTCAGGGCAGGCTGCGCGCGCGACGTGTGGGGCGCGATGCGGCTGGCAGCAGCAGTGTGCGCGCTAAAAAAAAAGTACGCGCGCGCGCAGCCGAGGTGCGCGCGGTCAGGAGACTAGGCACACAGGCAGGCAAGGCAGTTGGTAACACTGTAATGGGTGGGCCCTTAATCTTACGTCCTGAGAACCTGCTCTAGATGCCATGTTAGAATACCTAGGCAAGTATGATTGTATTAGGTCAAGATGGGTACAAGACTAGAAAGTCGAGGGAAATTGTGTACCCCCTAAAGCTAGCCCCTATACAACCTAACTAAACATTAAACATATAGTTTGACACTCGATGTGCTTGGTGCTGGCATTGTCACACCAGAGTGTGGGACAGCACTGAGGGGCACCAAGCTCGGCTAGAAGAAAGCAGAGCCAACGGGACTCTTGTGCAGCCATGGTGCCAGCGTAGAGTTCGGCTTCGCAGGAGGAGAGGGCAACGGCAGATGAGCGAGTAGAACGCCAGCTGATAAGCCCGCTGCCAAGCGTGAAGCCATAGCCTTGCGAGGAGCGGCGGTCCAGCTGGGAGTCCGCTTAGGAGGACCTCATCTCTCACCTACGCGCTAGTGACGCTCGCTTTTGTGCCGCCCTCACTGACGAGTTCCTCGCAGAGAACCCCCCCCCCCCCCGATGTAATTTACTCTCTACTTCCTCATCACCCGCCTCCCTGACACCCTTCGCTCAGTCAGGGACCACTTTCTCGCCCTAGACCCTCCCACTATCACTATCGCCCACCTTGAGAAGCACCTCCTAGCAGGCGAAAAGAACATTCTCGCTGTAGGTGCTGCTCGTGACACTCCTCGCACTCCCCTCTTTGAGGGATGCCCCCCCTCCCCTCTTACACCCTCCCACGCCTCTGCTGCTGCTGCTGCTCTCGACTACCTTGGTGCCGAGGAGGTCGGGGCTGCTTCCGCTCCTAGTGGGAAGTGCCGCAGCGGTAGGGGCAGCAGGGGTGGCAGGGGAGGTGGAGGTGGCGGTGGAGGGGGCGGTGGTGGAGGCGGCGGGGGAGGCGGAGGTGGTGGGGGTGGTGGTGGGGGTGGTGGTGGGGGTGGCGGTGGTACTAGGAGCGGTGGAGGCGGCAGCGGCGGCAGTGGGGGAGGAGGGAGCGGTGGTGGCAGCAAAGGTGGGGGCGGGAGTGGGACCGGCCAGAAGGGGAGTTCCAGTGGTGGCCAGGGACAGCAGCAGGAGCAGCAGCAGCAGCAGCAGCAGTAGCAGCGTCAGCAGCAGACCCTCTCCCCTCAGCAACTTCATGACTGGTATGCTCAGCGTGGGGCGTCTGAGGGTCCTGCTCGCTGCCCTTATATCATTCGCACAGCCCCCCGCACTGGTCCATGCGGCGGGTCTCACACTGAGCACCGCTGCTTCGCTCAGCTTAGCGACGCCTGGCTCGCCAAGTTTCCAGAGGCTACTGAGTTCCCCGCTTGGGCGGACATGCTTAGGCGTGGTGTTCCTATCTTTGATCTTGACTGTAATGCAATTCTTGTTGCCATGTATGCATTGACTGTTAGTGCTGAGGATGACTGCTACTTGTGTGTGCCGCCTGACCCAGGTATAGAGTCCGCAGCCCTAGGTGCTAGTGAGTCTGCTCTCCCTGGTACTGCGTCCGCTCAGTCCCTGCACACCTTTACACTTGACTCTGGTGCTTCCCGCTATTTCTTTTGCGACAGTACCACAGTCACTCCCCTCCCTGCACCTGTCCCTGTCTCAGTGGCTGACCCCTCTGGGGGCTAAGTGCTAGCACGGTCCACAACTGTGCTTCCGTGTCCGGCGGTCCCGTCTGGTGAGCTGTCTGGTCTCCACCTCCCCTCGTTTTCTATGAACCTGGTGAGCAACGCCGTCCTTCAGGATCATTGGGTTGATACCTTTACTCCTGGAGGACAGCGTGTGGCGATCTGCACGTGCTCTCGGACTGGCCGCCGCCTGGCCACATTCACACATGCGCCTGGGTCCAGTCTGTACACCCTCACCACTGCCTCGCGCTCCTCCCCTTTGTCTCCTCAGCTGTACGCGTCCGCTCAGGTAACTACCCAGTGTGAGTGTCGCCGCCTGTCGCACCAGACTCTCCTTTGGCACCACCGCCTTGGTCACCCCTCCTTGCCTCGCCTTCGTGGCATGCACTCTCGCTCCCTGGTCTCTGGTCTTCCCACGTCTCTGCCCTCCCTCCCTCCCTCGCCTACCCCGCCCTGCATTCCTTGCGTCGAGGGGCGGCAACGCGCCGTTCCTCACTCCTCCTTGTTCCCTCCCACAGAGGCTCCACTGCAGACTCTCCACCTGGACGTGTGGGGCCCAGCCCGTGTCCGTGGATAGGGCCACGAGCTGTACTTCCTGCTGGTAGTCGACGACTACAAGTGTTACACCACAGTCTTCCCCTTGCAGCGCAAGGGGGACGTCCCTGATGTTTTGATCCCCTAAATCCGCGCTGTTCGTCTCCACCTCAGCGAGTGGTTCCAGTCAGACTTTCCTGTCATGCGTCTGCACTCTGACAATCGTTCACGCTTCCGGCCTCTCCGTAGCAGAATGGGGTTGCTGAGCGCCGCATTGGCTTAGTCATGGAGGTCGCTCGTACCTCCATGATCCATGCGGCTGCCCCCCATTTTCTGTGGCCGTTTGCGGTCCGGTACGCCGCGCATCAGCTCAACCTCTGGCCCCGTGTCTCCGTGCCGGAGACCTCGCCCAAACTGCGTTGGACGGGGGAGGTTTGCAATGCATCGCGGTTCCGGGTCTGGGGTGCTCGTGCCTTTGTCCGCGATACCACTACGGACAAGCTCTCCCCTCGCGCCATTCCCTGCGTCTTCCTTGGCTTTGTCCCTGACGCGCCGGGGTGGCAGTTTTACGACCCCGCCTCGCGCCGTGTCTTTGCGTCTCAGGACGTCACCTTTGACAAGTCGGTACCCTTTTACCGTCTCTTTCCCTACCGCACTGCCCCTCTCCCCCCCCCCGCTGTTCTTTCTCGCTCCAGGTCCTCCCGAGGTAGACCCCCTCCCCGCTCCAGGTCCTGCTCCTTCAGGTGTGTCTCAGGTAGACCCTCCTCCCTTGACTGAGCCGGTTGAGGTCACTGGTGACTCAGGTCCTCCTGCGGGTGGTCCTGCTCGGGGTGCTGCTTCTGGGGGTGCTGAGCCTGGGGGTGCGGAGCCTGGAGGTGCTGAGCCTGGGGGTGCGGAGCCTGGGGGTGCTGAGCCTAGGGGTGCGGACCCTCAGGGTGCTGAGCCTGGGGGTGAGGAGCCTGGAGGTGCTGAGCCTGTGGCTGTTGAGCCTTGGGGTGCGGATTTTGGGAGTGCTGGGCCTGGGGGTACTGGGTCTTGGGGTGCTGCGCCTGGGGGCGCTGAGGCGCCTGGTGAGCAGTCTCCTTGGAGTGGCCGCCTTCATAGTCGCTCTGCTGGTGCCTTGCCGCAACCCTCTCGTTGGCTTGTCCCTCTCTCCCCAGAGCAGCTGCGTGAGTGGTACGTTAGCCGTCAAGGTCGCGCTGCTGGAGCTGGGTGCCCTGTTGTGGGAGGTGCTGGCGTTGGAGGCTCTGGAGCTGGTGACCCTGCTCGTACTAGAGGTATTGGAGCTGCTGGGAGTGGAGGTACTGCTGGTTCTGGGGGTGCTGATGCTGGAGGCAATGAGGCTGGAGGTTCTGGAGCTACTGGAGGTTCGGGAGCTGTTGTAGGTACTAGCGCTGGAGGTGGTGGTACTGGAGGTGTTGGCGCTGGAGGTTCTGGAGCTGCTGGAGGTGCTGGTACAGGAGGTGCTAGAGCTGGAGGTTCTGGAGCTGCTGGAGGTACTGGTGCTGGAGGCGCTGGAGCTGGAGGTTCTGGAGGTGCTGGAGGTGCTGGTACTGGAGGTGCTGGAGCTGGAGGTTCTGGAGGTTCTGGAGCTGCTGGTGCTGGTGGCACGGCGCAGCCGCGGCTGTTCTTCACTCCGCCGTCACCTTCGTCTCTGCCACCGCCTGACTCCGTGCTTCGCCAGGTTCTTAGCCTCCCGTCTTCTACTGGTCTTCCGTCACAGCCTGGCTCCTCTCTCCCTGCTCCTTCTCCTTACACTGAGCAGACTGGAGGCCGAACTGAGCGCCATGAGCCTGCGTCTCGTCCTGTCTCGCCTGTTCGCACTGTTCTTCCTAGTCGTCGTGGTCCTCGTGAGCGTCCGCTGGCTGTCCCCGGCACGCACCTCATGGCCTTGCGTCCTTCCTCTGCTCCGCAGCGTGTTCCCCTACCGTCCCCTCTTGCGTCTTCTCTGCCTGACATTCCCGACCCTGAGTCTGACCGTGCTCGTGCTGCTTCCCCTACTGTCACGCTTCTACTTACCAGTGTTGTCACTGACCCGTCGTTTGAGTCCACTATTGCGTCTGCTTTAGTCGCTGAGCTTGTTGACTTTGCTGCTGCCTGTCGTCTAGACTACGCTGCTAGTCTTGTTGCTGAGTCTGAGTCTGTCTGTCCTCCGTCCGTCGGGGGTGAGTCTGCTCTTGGCACGGACGTCCTTGAGGACAGGCAGGAGGACTTTGAGTGTCTTGCGGCTGCTGTACCTCATCTCATGGCCATGCTACTTGCCCCTGAGGGAGACCCTGATGCACCAGACATCCCGACTTTCAGAGATGGCATCCTGGAAGTCCACAGACACTTACGTCGATGAGGTTCCCCCTCCTTGGGCGAACATCGTCGATCGCATGTGGATTATCAGGGTGAAGCTGCCGCCGGGTTCTCCGCCTGTCTTCAAGGCTCGCTACGTTGCTCGAGGCTTCAGTTGACTTCTTCCAGACCTTCTCCCCCACCCTGAAGATGAACACTCTTCGGGTGCTGCTGCACGTTGCCGCTCAGTGTGACTACGAGCTTCACTCTCTAGACTTAGCACAACGTTCTCACAGGGCAGCCTGCACGAGGAGATGTGGCTGCGCCGCCCACCTGGCTTCACTGGGTCGTTCCCTCTAGGTACCCAGTGGAGCCTCCAGCGGCCAGTCTACAGTCTCCGCAAGGCGCCTTGTGAGTGGCATGACACACTGAGGACGACACTTGTGGCTCTTGGGTTTGCTCCTTCGACTGCTGACCCGTCGCTGTTTCTACGCACCGACACCTTGCTGCCGCCGTTCTACATCCTCGTATACGTCGACGACTTGGTCTTTGCCACTTCTGACATTGAGGCTCTCGCCCTTGTGAAGTCGGAGCTGCAAAAGAGACACACATGCACAGACGTGGGTGAGCTGCGCAGCTATCTTGGCTTGCAGATCACCCGGGACAGAGCACGCCGCACCATCACACTGACTCAGTCACACATGGTGCAGTAGGTCCTTCAACGCTTCGGCTTCACCTGGTCCTCGGCACAGTCCACTCCTCTGGCTACAGGTCACTCGCTCTCAGCTCCACCTTCGGACGAGTCCATAGAGCCGAGTGGTCCTTACCCAGAGCTAGTGGGCTGCCTCATGTACCTGATGACTTGCATTAGACCTGACTTTGCGTACCCTCTTAGCCTTCTGGCTCGCTACGTGGCTCCTGGTCGGCACCGAAAGGTGCACATGGATGCTGCTAAGAGGGTACTTTGCTACTTGTGCAGTACATTGGACATGGGGCTCGTGCTTGGAGGACGGGGCGACGTTGTCCTCACCGGGTACTCGGATGCTTCTTGGGTTGACGACCTGGCTACGCAGCGGTCGTCACAAGGTTACACCTTCAGCCTTGGCTCTGGCTTTGTTTCTTGACGGTCTACCCACTCGTCTTCTGTTCTCAGCTCCACTTGTGAGGCTGAGATCTACGTCACAGCCATGGCTGCCCAGGAGTTACGCTGGCTTACCTACCTGCTGACCGACTTGGGAGAGCGGCCTCGTTCTCCTCCAGTTCTGTACGTAGACAACAAGGCCGCCATTGCCTTGTGTCAGGAGCATAGACTGGAGTACAAAACAAAGCACATCGCTCTGCGTTACTTCCTTGCTCGAGAGTTGCAGCAGCGTGGTCAGCTTTGTCTTGCTCACGTGGCCACCCAGGCCAACACTGCTGATATATTCACCAAGGCACTTCCGCCTGGTGATCATCAGCGCTTTTGTACTTTGTTAGGCCTTGTGCCTACGTTTCCTCACTTGCTGTAGGCTCTGTTTGTACTGTGATCTATATATATATTCTTGCATGCTTACTCTTGCTAGGTAGTGATCACTGTGCTGTTGTTGTTGCATATATACCTCTGTATGTGAACTGGCCTTCTGGTCCTTTGCTTGTGCTCAGTGTGTGTGGTGACTTTGTGATCCACCC